ACCACATAAAGTTCTGAAACTCTCCGTTGCACGTGTACTTGCCAAGGTGTTTCTAATAAGACCTTAAACAACAAAATCCGTTTATCGGTTTAGAAGTGATCTGCAAGTGGAAAGGAAAATATCTGTAATTGACTAATTTTTTTCAATTGTAAACAACCTAAAGTAATTTATTTTTATTTATTTAAATTCATATTTTGTATCTTTTTGACAAACTTTTTCAAATTGTTATTATTAAATGGTTTCAATGCACATTTTTGCCTTTACAATGTATTTATCGTTTTTAGTATTCCTACCATCAATGGGTTTATTTGAAAGATATTTTATCACTTTCGGTGATCTTCTATAATTCCTGGAAATCATGTTTTCTCTGTATCATAGTATTTTTTTTTTAATTGTTTAAAGCGTTCACCTAATATTTTGTATTTAGCGCTCCATGTCGGTTTTTTAGACACGAGCACATCTAAGTCGTAACGTACACATAAGTTTCCCAATAACATGTTTTTTTGGGCCACAAAAAAACCGCTTTGCGCTTACCGGTGGAATCAATCATTTTTCGTAGCAGCTAACGCCATTTTAAGATGTACAGGGTGATCAATTTAACGTAGAACACTCAATATTTTTTAAGCAAATTGCAATTTTGTAGTTTTTTCTTTTAACAAAAAAAATGTTGTTTATGTTATTTTACAATACATTATAAAATTACTAAATATTTAACTTTTTTGGTATTATCCTAAGGTCTATCGACTTTTGACACTTATAAACCCTAAATAGAATCAACTATGTCATCAGAAAGATCAAATAGTTTAGCCGTATTAAGTAAAGAGTAATCTATAACCAAAACAATTTTTAATTACGATGATATTATTAAATCATTTCCATCAAATCATTCTCGCAGAAAATTTTGGAAAACCCCAGAAAAAGCTAATGTTTTTTTTAAAAATTATAAACTTTTTGAACACTTTTATGTTAATATTGTTAGTTTTTTTCTTAATTGTTATAAATAATATTATATTGGCTATGTCTGAGTTATATTTTATATATTTGTAACTATGTACCTATTACTTAAAAATGCAATTTATAAAATAATATATTTATTGACAACGTATTTAGAATGGTTTAACTCTCTCTAAGTGTTTGTTCACATCTAAATGTTTTTTCATAATGTTAATTATTTTATATTTAATGAACTTCTCCAAAAAACTGCTGTAAACCGCATTTCTGAATTAAATACTAGCTACGCCTGTTATATTTTATAAAGTGTGTTATGATCTTCATCAAACCATTTAGGCCTATCAGTTACTATTTAAGAGCACTAAAATAACACTTCTTTAATCAACCACTTAATATACTGTGCTGGTTTCTGAAATAACTAAAAAATATTATTTTTATCGGCCAAATTAAAAATTGTATTGTTAATACTTTTAAGCAAGCGATAGAAACATCTCCATTTCCATCAGCCCATTAAAAACTTAACTAAATTTAATTAACTAAAACTAAACAGATTTTTTTAAAATTAATACATTTTTTATTTTTGATAAAATATTTACAATAAGTAAATTAGTTGGATATTTAGAGAGAAAAAAAGAATGTAAAACAGTCAGTGAAGAACATGAATAAGGAATCTCAAAGTATTGAGACACCAAATAGTATTTAAAAAAAAAACATTAATCTTAGTAGTTCTTGAGCCAGTTCTGCGCCAGTTTTTTTTAAGTCGTCTTAGAGGTCGGAATGGAGTTAAACTGAGGCATATGGAGTGAAAAGCCCCAATTGTTTTGGTATTTGAAGGTTTTGCTGATCACCAGATAACAGTATCATAAGTTCATATTGGGTTCAAAAGGGTACTGTAAAGAAGGAACTTGTTTTTTATTGGTATTTTTGAGTGTAGAAGAGGTCGAAGCAAATCGATTTGATAGTTGAGTGTTTTGCGTTTTTCGTTTAAATGTGGTGACCAGGTTAGGAGCTTGTTAAATATTAAGCCTAAATATTTGATTTGAGAGCATTGGGGAATGGGAGTTTCATTTAAAAACGCAGTGTGACGCGAGCTGATTTTGTTTCGTTTAATTTTATTTTACAATTTTTTAGCCAGGTTTCTAGTGAGTCCAGGTATATATATTATATTGTATATGTAGCGAGAGAGCGAGAGTTGTGGAAAAACATATTATCCTGGCAACCACGTTGGTATTGGGTTGGCTTAAATACGATTTATGTAAGAACAATTCAGAGTACGAAAATTAATCCTACGTATTTCAATTTGAAAAGTACTTCAATTTAATATTATTTTTCAACCTTTCGTGTGCTAAATTCCAAGTTTGTAAAATTGTTATTGTGGTTGTGTGTTGATTTAGAAAAGTGTTTTTGCGTGGGCTATTACTCATATGTTATTCAGTTCGATACGAAACCGAGAAAAATATAGCGCCAAAAACAATGATACATATTATTTGTGTTTTTACACCGAATACTTCAATTGGAAACCTAAATTTGGGCCTCTGCTTGAAGAGTTCTGCACACGTTGGAAAAAAATTTCATATTTAGTGCAAATGGTGTATGACTTTATCAGGTAACTGTTTGAACAAGCATACAAAACATCACATCAAAATAATATGTTTTCTTCGTATTTCAATGAAAAACACTGAAACTGTGTTTTCTAGTAAGAAACTAAGTATGCAATCTTTTTGGAAAAGTAATAACAATAATAAAATCATATATTGAAAAATTCAGAGTATAATATAAAACCTAACACATTGACAACTGGAAACTTAAATTTTGGCCTCAGCGGTTAAAGAGTTGTGTACACATTGGAAAAAAATTGTCTACTCGTTACAATTTTTCCAGATACAAAATAAAAATATACCTAGTAATATAATTTTTTTTTATATATTTATTATTTCACTGTGGCTTACAAATATTCACTTCAGTAAATATATAGCATAATATTATAGTACACAGTACTTATTTGCTACAAAACAAAAACAAATTTTATTGTCTATAATTATAATGGTCACATATTATATTATGTGCCTACACACAATAATATAACCAGACAAATGATAGCTATAAACGGCTAGTACAGTCATGTTAGGTTATTAAAAAAAGCTTGTCGATATTTTTTTTAACGTTTTAGGTACTTTGATCGTATAGGATAAGTACGGCCAGTAGTAAAAAAACATTAACACAAACAGAAATAAAAATAAAAAAAACAGGTCCTCGGGGAATGAACTAAATAAATCTATACCTTAAATCTATAAGTCAGTCTCAGTTTTTGTAAATTTCGACAAAAAGACTTTTAAGTTCAAATTTTCCTTGAAGATCTGTATTATTTTTTTTCAAAACTCTTCATGAGTTGTTCATTTTTTTGTCTTGGAGTAAAAATTTGTTTATAATTTAAAAAGGATGTTTAAATTTGCACGTCTAGTGAATTAACTAGTTTTTGCCGAAAATTGTCAAGTACAGAAATAGATATACTTGTTTTCGAAAATAAGTCCTACATCTCGGATTTAATAATTAAAAGCGATTCTTTGTCAAATAAATAGAAAGTGCAAACTTGTAAAGTATGTTTTGTGTTACCCTATTGTATCGGATGACTCAACAAAAGTAAACTAAATCTTTTTACAAGTATTATTATTTTGTTTTTAATTACCAATGCCGTATTTTGTGAATGATTTTACCCTAGTAGGTGGCATAGGTTGATCTATGGATAATTCGTTGTTCCGATGGAGAGCTAGGCCATTGACATGTAGAATTTACATTAGCTACTTTGTAGTGCTGCCATTAAGCCGTCAGACACACTATACAGTGTGGGCCACGAGAAGTCTACACTTTGATTATGCACACAAAATTGATGTGAATCCGTCAAATCCTCATAGCTCACACTGTATTCGTATGTACAGTGAAATATCATCTGGACGGCCTCAAGATATTTTTACACATTGATAACTGTGTGGCATCTTCTATTCTATAAAACTATATTATTGTAAAGACGAGATATCTGATATTGGATTTCAATTTCCATTGTTATAAAACATGTAATGTCCACCCTAAGGCGTATACGTTTAATTTCACAAACGTCACTGTTGCCATTGTGAGTATTGAATAAAACCGTTATTTATCGACACATTATTGTTTGTGTAGAAGTCATCAGGATGTATATCGAATGTATATATATATTGTACGGCTAGAGTGAAAAATATGAAAACCTTGGTGAAAAAGAGCTTCACCGATAAACCGATGAAACTACTAAGAAAACTACTTAAATTTGAATTAACTTCTCAAGTGTTAATATTGATTAATATTCACAACAACATGTTATACAAATGTCAAAACAATACTTTTTTTAAAGACACGGAAATTGTGGTCAAATGTAAATAATTTTATAAAAAAAACTTCTTGTATATGATCTGTCTTCGTATGAAATGTCTTTTTTTTCCTATTCGCCTTACCTAACTCATACATCTATTCACACGGTCCTCTGCTTTTCTTTGTTGACTAATACCTTTCTCACCTTTGTACTGCTTTGTTTTAACCACCTCTGTCTAATTTTTGTCATTTGTCAATTACTGGTAACACTCCTAGAATACCTATTACTTAGTTGTTTCTAACAATAATTGTATTTTTTGTCCATCTTAGTACTAGCATTTCTTAAATTTCCAGATTCCGTGATAAGTTAAAGAAATCAAAACTTTGGAGAACTTTATCATTTATATTCTGGTACCTTTCCCTATTCACGTACTCCGTGTAATTAAGTGTTAGCCTAAATATTCCAGCATAACCTTCGAAATACAACTCATTAAATCCACGCAGTTTTCTTATAAGACTGCTTCCAATCACACTACTTAATATACTCCTGTATAAACTAGTCCAGTACTTAAATTCTTCAACTGATTATTCCATTTATTCCTCGTTTGCTAATTCTAACATGTTTACTTTGCTGGTAACTCTGAATGTTTCATTAACGGTGAGGTGTGTATCATATTATCGTTTTAAAATTTGTACATTATTTGCAGATACAAGACGAATACGATTTCATTGTTGTTGGCGCGGGTTCAGCAGGGGCGGTGGTTGCCAGTAGACTGTCTGAGATGCGCAACTGGACGGTTCTAGTGTTGGAGGCCGGAGGAGACGAGTCGGAAATCTCAGACGTCCCGTCGTTCGTCGGATACCTTCAGCTTTCCGACATGGACTGGCAGTACAAGACGGCGCCGCCGTCCAGCGATAACCCTTACTGCCTGGCCATGGTGCACGACCGGTGTAACTGGCCCCGAGGTAAAGTCCTGGGGGGCTCTAGCGTGCTGAACGCCATGGTCTATGTGCGTGGCAACCGCCGCGATTACGACAACTGGGCGAACGCCGGCAACGAGGGATGGAGCTACAAAGACGTTCTGCCGTATTTTCTCAAGTCCGAGGACAACCGCAACCCGTACCTGACAAAGACCGAGTACCATTCGCGCGGCGGTTACCTGACCGTGCAGGAGTCGCCGTGGCGGTCGCCGCTGGCCGCGGCCTTCATCAACGCCGGCGAAGAGCTGGGATACGAAAACCGCGACATAAACGGTCGCCATCAGAAAGGGTTCATGATCACCCAGACGACCAGCAGACGCGGCAGCCGGTGTAGCACGGCCAAAGCGTTTCTCCGGCCGATCAGACTCAGGCCGAACATCCACGTGTCGATGCACAGTCAAGCGACCAAGATCGTTTTCGACCACAGCGGCGGCGGCGGCGGCGGCGAACCCCGAGCTTCGGCCGTCCAGTTCTTGAGGAACGGCAAGAAGTACACGGTCAACGCCCGCAAAGAGATCGTGCTGTCGGCCGGCGCCATAGGATCTCCGCAGTTGCTCATGGTGTCCGGCATCGGGCCGGCCGAACACCTGACGGAGCTGGGAATCAAAGTCGTCAACGACCTGAAAGTCGGCCACAACTTACAGGATCACGTGGGCCTGGGCGGGCTGACGTTCCTCATCGACGAGCCCATCACGTTCAAAAAGTCACGGTTTTCGACCGCGTCCGTGGCGCTGGAGTACATAATGAACGAGCGGGGTCCGCTGACCTCGGCCGGCGTCGAAGGTCTGGCGTTCGTCAATTCCAAGTACGCCGACCCGTCCGGCGACTTCCCGGACATACAGTTCCATTTCGCCCCCAGCTCCGTCAACTCGGACGGCGAACAGATCCGGAAAATCACCGGGCTCAGGGACGCCGTGTACAACACCGTGTACAAGCCGCTGGTGAACGCCGAGACCTGGACGATACTACCGCTGCTGCTGAGGCCCAAGAGCTCGGGCTGGATACGGCTGAAGAGCAAGAACCCCATGGTCTACCCGATTATCGAACCCAACTATTTCGCCTATCCCGAGGACGTGCAGGTGCTCATCGAAGGCATACGGATCGCGTTCAACGTGTCCAACTCAGCGGCGTTCCGCAAGTACAACTCCCGGCCGTTGCTGACGCCAATGCCGGGCTGCAAGAAATTCGAACTGTTCAGCGACGAGTACTGGGAGTGTGCGCTCCGACACTTCACCTTCACTATTTACCATCCGGCCGGCACGTGCAAAATGGGCCCTTCCACCGACCCCGGCGCCGTGTTGGACCCCAGGTTGAGGGTTTACGGGGTCAAGGGGCTCAGGGTCATCGACGCCTCGATGATGCCCACCATAGTCAGTGGAAATCCGAACGCGCCCGTGATCATGATCGGTGAAAAAGGGGCCGACATGATCAAAGAAGATTGGGCGTTAACAGAATCTTTTCATTCGCACATCGAACCGGCTGTAATAGTTTAAGCTGCGACCGAGTAGGTACCTCGTCTAGGTCATCTTGACACCAGGCGACCGTTACGGTTTGAAAGTTGTAGGGGGACATACTTTTTCATGGCATCCGCTAAAACATGGTTGTCAACACTGCAAAAACACGAGTAGGTTGTTGATTGATTGTTTTTTCTACATTTTGATACTTCAAACGCCTTTTGTAGATACGATTCAGATTACTATTTAATCTAGTGAACGTTTTTCCATAAATTTCTCTGGTAGTTTTAGGATTGCTTAAATGGGTTTATCGATACGATTTCGTGTGATTAATGGCGTACTCATATGAATTTTATATACTAAAGTTTGACATGAACCGGTTAACAGTTAACATATTATATTATACCTGCTTTACATTGACACGGTTTACATAGGTCGTATCGAACTATTTAACAAAAATTGCTCAATTATTGCTTTAATTCATAATTTTATAATATCCTACGCTCGGTATTTCTTAGAAAACACTACTCGACACGCACACGTTGTCCTTAAATTTCATAATATTTTTTATAAGAAGTTAACGCTGCGATTAATCTGTTATCGAGTTATGAAAATATCCATGACAAACAAAATCGATCAGTCAGCGAAACAAATATTTTGGCTTTCTCGTTTACTTAATTATGTTTTCTTTTGATTTACCTTTATAATATGCTCACGTGAAATAAAATATGTTAGTGTAATTGTAAATATGTAATCAAAGAAATAATTTATAAAGAACTGCTTAAAATATTACAAAGAATAGTGAGATAGGTAATAATATATGGATAATTGTAAATAGTTTTAGTTTTATTTAGCTATTTTATAATGCGTCAAATCTTCATTTGTATATTATTGCTTTTTCGTTTATTCACACTTAAAATATATGCCAACTAAACATTACTACCCAATTGAAACGTGGTAATTATTGTATGTTTATATAAAATTATATCATACAAAACTTCCATCTAAATTAATAATATATCCAAAATGTATTTATGATTATACAAAATTACAATGTTTACTTATTTTATTATATTATATTATTACTATTTATAAGAAATGTGCAAACCGCTAAATTTGTAAGCATTACTTTTTGTACAAATTTATGTTTTATATAAAAATTGTAGATATTAATTTTGTTGTTAACTTGTTTTATATTAAGTCTATGTCATAATTTTTATTTAATTTTTCAAAATCTGCTTATTATTATTAGTTTAAAAAAATTAGAATGTACTTAAGTTTATATTATATTTTTTAAATCACTGTTTTAAATTATTATTGTTTTACTATTTTGCGTATGATTGTATACATAATAAAAATTAAAAACTATATTTATTTAAACGACATACTTACCATATTAAATTCATTGTGATTAAAACAATATTTGTGTAATTTTTCTGTTTTGACGCGAGACATACATAAATAATCAACATAATATGCAAACGCCTTTTATTAAAACAAAAGCCTTTTGAGATAACTTTGTATTATGTTCTGTTGTAATAACATTTTCATTAGACAATTTGTGTGATTTTTATTATTTATTATTCTTTCTTTAAGTTTGATTTTACCAATCAGAATTTATACCTACAGGATTATATTTTCCTATATATTACGTTAAAATCTACTCGAAAATCAATTATACTTGCTTTGGTTTAAACTATAAGAATATACTTACAATACATTTTTAGAATTAAAATTATGAATATATTCGTTTCTTAGATAATTTATCTAAAACAGGTACGAATGATATAAAAAAATAGATTTTAATTATAAATTCAGATTTTTACAATGCTAATGATATTAATAGTTGTATAATATTATTTTTCAATTTTCGGTAGATGGACATAAAAATAATTTTAGAAAAGTCTAGTTTTGAATTTAAAATTATTTAAGTTGCGGCTCACACTTCTTTTTGTAAATCTACAATTGAAATCTTAGTTTTGCTAAAATTATTGGACTTAACTCGTTATGACCGCCAACCGAAAAGTTAACATAACAGCTATAAAAAAAAATAATATACACATATCAAATTATACTCAAATCAAAGACAAATAATTGGTCAGAACTAATTTGTTTCGAGAGTGTTTTCAATTTACATGTTAATCACCTCAGTCTAAATTAATTTTAACATTTATCTTTAGTTTTTAAATAAATTAACCATATTTCATTTAATTATACAAAGTCAATACAGATCGTATAATCTCATATCTAAACCAGTTCAATCATAGTGTGCCATACGTGGGACTTTCTTGTATTAACTTTATTGACATTTTAAAAATGTTCAATTTTAAATTTATTCAAACTAGATTAAAGATAGAAAGTGTTAATAAAACTTGCTAGTCTCCAGCTTATGTATAAATTAGGATTATGAATAAAATATACACTTAGAGTAAAAAAGTATTTGCGACAATCCATTCTTGTGGTTAACGAATTTTTTTTTATTAATGTTTCATGTATTTTTTTTTTTAATTCGGTAGTCTTATTATTTTTATATACAAACAATACCAATTGAAAATCTATACTCATATTTTATTTTACGGTTATAGTGTGATAAATTCAAGGATAACCGTAGTAAATAAATAGGCGTGCATTAAGCGATTGTATTGAAGGAACACCATTTGACATGCGTTTAGTAAAAACCGGCAAAACATTGAAAATGGAAATTTATCATTGTCCAGACTAGAATGAAGAAGTCACTAAAAAGATCTCGATTGTTCCGAATAACGTGCGTGTGTAAAAAATATTATAAACGACAACAATGATAATGATAATCGCACTGTCCGGTTTAAAGTGATGTGCCTAGCTAAAATAATTGCTCGCGCGACAATTGCGTTTATGCAATGAGATAATTATTATTTCATTCATTCATTCGTTGTTGTTGTTTTATATTATAAACACACCGTTTTGAATTTCGCACTTGCACTGGCCGACTTTCTAAATACATCATAACATAATATACCATTGGCGATGACTGTTTGTAAAAAAAGACCAGCACTACTACTAGTATTGGCTGTTGTTTCTATTTGTATAATTATTAACGCTATAAAAATTCAATACAAACCCGAGTGCGTGATGTTATTATTATTATTATTATGCACTGCCATAAACGCCGAACGACGACCCTCGTAGATAGTTGTTATGTATCGGTATCGAGGGCTACGTGATAGGACTATCAATCTGTTTTATACATAATGCCTATAGGTAATGGCGTTAACGATTCGCGATTTTTAGAAAGTTTGCGGGTTGTCATTTCCTTTCAGCGGACAGGCCCAGAGTCACAAGGTCACTTATGGCTAGTAGACTAGTTATGAATAACATAAAATATCGTTATGCACAACAGGGTTAAGGTTCACGACGTTTAAAAACATTAATTCGGTACTTGTTTGATTTTCATTTGTATAAGACGTATCTATATATATATATATATATGTATAACCGCAACGATTAGGACGGTTGGCGACTGCATGTTAAATTGTGTGCAATCATTTTAACGTTTTCAACACAATTGTAATGATGTATAAAGTTCAGTGAACAGTCAGTGCATTTTTTTAAACTAAAATATTAACAAAAAGATATCGCTATCAATATGTCGAATTCTAAATTAAAAATGTTAATATATTGATCTAAGACGTTATAAATTATATACTAGTCGGCGAAAGGATTTATTTATAATAAAAAATTAGGTTATCCACATTATTATCCAAATATTTATATTAATTTAAAAATATTCCATGGAAGAGATGGAATGTATTCTGTTAGTCTTCAAGTATAATTTTCTTCTATATATTTATAAAACTAAATTCGGAATACTGACAATTGCCCTACAAATTTAATTACTCAAGTAAAAAATTATTGGACCCAAAATATAATAATTATCAAAATCGTTTTAACGTTGGAGACTTCAAATAATTTAACTAGGTCGATGATAAAATATGTTGTTTTTGTTTTCGAATATTTTCTTATTTATGACATTAGTGTATGACTGTAACTGTTTGAACAAGCATACAAAACAATAAATCAAAACAAGTATTATTCTTATTTTAAATAAATAATACAACTTAAAAAGTGTTTTCAATTCGTTTTCCCGTTTAAGAAAGTTAATATACAATTATTTAGAAAAATAATGATAAAGGTTTTAAATTTTGAATGTAAAAATAATGATATGGTCGAAATTAATTAAAAACACTTTTTTCTTAAAGATTGCCTAAACAAAACTCCTTAAAAATGGTCGGTATCCCGTATCCAGGGGCCTCAACACGAAAACACAATTGTTATTTTACTTCAGAAAAATACTTTTGTGATTTTATGTGCGTTTTCATTTTCACTGTTTACACAAATAAAAACATAGTGATCGTTTATGTACGATATTCTTACACGTTCAAAAGACTGTAAACAGTAACAAACACAGGGTTTTTAAAATTTCATGGCGACCTGGCTCAATGACGTCTTTCTAAAATTATGAAAAAACGACCATACAATGATATTTTAAGGTCATTATAATTTTTCCCTCTTCGGTAAGAGGATTTGGGAAAGATGATTTTGAAATTTCATCGAACGGCAATAACCAATTAAGACATTTCATAACTATTATATTTTTTTATGGCTAGTAAATAATGTATTATTTTTAATACAATTTAATAATTTTGAGATTGATTTTGGCGTTTATTTTATCATTTTTTTAAATTTATTTTGCTATTGCCGGAGTCGAATCATTTGTTGTCAATTATTATTAGAATAATTTGTATTATTATTATCCTTAAACAATGAGAGGGAATTGGCCACAAGGGAAATATCTGATTACCTTGTTAGAAAATAGAAACAGGTAATTCAGCCGTTTACAAAACATTGCAGTTTTCATAACCGCTTTTAAACAAACGTCACGCTAGTTACCTAAATAAGTTAGTGATTTGACATTTTGCAATAAATGTGTAATAATAGTGGTTCTAATATATCCTACACATTAAGTACACATAAATGGATATAGCTCTAATTGTGTCATTTTCATTAACAAGCCATTAATAACGCATTCAAAAATAACTATACTATTAATAAGAGCAATATTACTATTGCTGTTTTGCAATATATAATTGTACATTATTATTATACGACGTGCGTTGGTATTTTAATTATTATTTTTTAAAAAATGTCTATAAATTATATTTTGATTTTTAAATATTTTGTCATTATAGGAACGGTTTAAATTGCATTCACTTGTTAAAACACGTGTTGAGTAACATACATTGCCCCTTAAGATACGGAACACAACAAACAGGAGTAGATAAGGAATAGTAATATTAATGCCTTAACAAACTATTTTGTCGCCCGAAGAAGGTGACTGATTTGGAAGTGCCTAATATAATGGTAGATAAATTACCGGAGTCTATTGATTTAAATCATTATAAGTTGTACTCAGTACTTTTATAAAAAATAATCAAATAGGTACATGATTAGTTTGGCATTTATTTTAGGAAAAGTCAGACAGCAAAATAAGTTTCAGAAACCTTATATAATTTTCATAATATTAATCGTTTCTGCGTTATTATTATCTATCAACTCTTCTGGGCTATGCTTAGCATTAATTAAGCACTGCCATTATCATGTACCTATATTATGCGATCGTATCGAAGAGTCTGTAAACAAATACATATTATACTATTTTCCTACAATCGAATCGGTCGCCTTGAACTATTTAATCTGTGAGAAAATCCATTATAGCTATACGGAATAACATAATAATATGACAGCCTTCGCTTGCGTTTAGAATATCGTAAAATACACCTCTACACTTTTATTGTATTAAGATTGAAATTGTTTTACGTATTGTTGAAAATAATTTGCATAAAATTATTGGAAAACTCTTATCTTATTGTGTCCTTGAATCGTTATAATCTTTTCTGTTGCAAAACAGATTTGCAGACACACACAAAAAAAAAATTAAATTAATTTATTAAAATTATTGATTTCGAAATTG